GGCGATGTGACAACTCACTGCATTTTGTTTTATTTGACAACTCACTGCTCAAATATGAAGGGATTGCATTGTGATCCTCTGGCCTACAATTATGATTTTATCTGACAACCACGTCCGTGACTACATCACAGGTACACAAAGTCACGGGTACTCAAAATTGCATGAAATGAATAACATAAATCACGTGTATCACTTCTTCCATAGTGCCCCAGCATGCATTATCGTCACCAGATCATCTCTAGTTAACCCCCACTGTGATGTTTATAAATACCCTAGTATGATGTTTGTTGAAGTCATAGCAATAGTAATATATCTACAATTACTGTTATTATTAATTTTTTTATTTTATGAACAATGCCTTCAAGAGGTGCAGGAAGTTCACGTCGGCAAAGAAATCCGAAAGTGTGGTTGCTACCTCCATTTACCTATGACTACAAGAGCGAAAAGTACTCGAGTCCGAAGGATTATTATGCTGGTATCCGAGCAGAATGGACGTTTAGGGTAACGGAGCAAGAAGGATTATTTAATAATCTACGTAACTTTGGGGCACCGGTACCTCATCGTCGTTCATTGACCATGGCTAGACGAAATGTGAATGACTATGAAAAAGCAATTAGCAGAATTAAGAAGGAGAACAACAAAATGTTGATGCGGAGATGTCGACATTTCATACTTCAGCTAGCCACCAAAATGGCAGAAGCAAGCAACAGAGATTTGACAATGACTGAGCGAAATAATGTCTTAAACAATGAAAAATATCTCTTTGACTACTACATGTCAGATGAGGAATGAGAAATCAAACACCGTTATCTTTCATACATGTTTGTATGTATGTTGTGTCGTATCATCGTTACTGGAGTGTGTGACAATGTTGTTGTTCATCTAACATACGGATGTATTTCAAGTATTTGTTTTATGAACCTGAAGTTTATGAAATAACTACATTTATAACTGCACATTTATTAGTTCATGACTTTCTTTATTGAATTGCAATGATTTAATGAATGTTTTGGATTAATGAATGGATTAATGTATGTTGAATTATGTGAATACTTAAAACAGATAAAACAGAACAGGTAGCTTGGTGAAAAGCTTCCCTTAACTGGGGCTCGTGAAATAGGGATCAATTTACAAAGAATTTCAATCTCCATCAGGAAAGAAGAAAGAGTCACCTTCCAATTCCTAGAAGTCCAGTAAAAATGATGACTCTAGTAACGAATGAGGGGTTGACAGAAGACTAAACTAGGTAAAACGAACTACCGCCTTCAATAACACATAAAACAGAACAGGTAGGTTGGTGAAAAGCTTCCCTTAACTGGGGCTTGTGAAATAGGGATCCTCTACGTAAAGAATTTCAATCTCCATTAGGAAAGAAGAAAGAGTCGCATTCCAATTCCTGGAAGTCCAGTAAAAATGATGACTCTGGTAGGGAATGGGGGGTTGATAGAAAACTAAACTTCGGGGGCTGGACAAACAAGGTCAAAGCCAAGTGGTTGGTCCAGTTGGGGGACTAATAAAGTTCAGACAAATGAACTACCGCCTTCAATAACACATAAAACAGAACAGGTAGGTTGGTGAAAAGCTTCCCTTAACTGGGGCTTGTGAAATAGGGATCCTCTACTAAAACCCAATTGGTTTTATTTGATTTGGTTGGGATGAATCACTATTTAGAATTAATTATACCCAAACAGATTGTTTTCTGCACCTTTTTAAAGAAATTGACGATTCTTTTAGTATAGAAACTAGAATTGTAACCAGTTCTAATGACGCTGATTTGTTATTTTTCGGATTTATACCCAAAGAGAACAACACTTCCGAAATTACTGTGTAACACCAGTTTTCTGGACAGATTTGAATGCACCAGTTTTCTGGACAAATTTGAATGCACCATGATATTCACAAACATTGGTGGCCAAGTACTCCAATGTAACCCACGTTTCACTCACAAGATCAACCATTATTTTAAAGTTGATTTCAAAAGTTGAGATTGTAAATGTTTCCGAAAGTATTACAAATTGAATATTCAAAAGGTGATTTTAAAATAATTCCAAATGACAACAAAAATTCAAATAGTCATACTTTTCAATGAAATACAAATAGTAGGTCGTAACAACAAATGCTGCATAGCTAAGTGAAACACAACATTGCCTACAGAAGCTTCATTTTTTCACACATTGAGTAGTCAAATTGTGGAGAGACTTGTCAGTATATGCAGATGGATTGTGAAGTCATGTGACCTGGTGCACACCAGGCTTTGGTTTTCTCAATATTTTGCTCGATTATTTGATATACAGTGACAACTCATCTCTTATTGATATATGTGGGATTCTCAATTCAGAAAGTCACATGGCAACAGTGAATTCACTGATTTACCTTACAGTGAGCATGCCTTTATTTTGTCCATATATGCAGATGGATTGTCAAGTCACGTGACTTGGTACACAGTATTTGTTTTTCTCTATTTTTTCAGTCTAGTGACAACTCATACCATGTTCATATATGTGGGATTGTCATGCAGAGGCATCTTTCTAAAGCCGTTTATAACCAACTATATGAACGACTAAAGGTGAAGACATAACCTTACAACTCATTTCGCCCTACGAAATTATCATTTATTTGTTTTAAAAAATTAGCATGGCTACACGATTCATGGGAGGGAGTGGGAATTGCAGAGGTGGTAGGAACTTGCAAAGGGGTGACAGTTCACGACGAGGAGGGGGAAGGGGCCGTGGCGATGCTGAAAACGATTCATGGGAGGGAGTGGGAATACCTATTTTAGATTATGCTTGTGGTTATCGTGATAGGTTTGGGAAGCGACATTTTTTGATGCCCAAGTATTATCCAGTTCAAGGAGGTTTATGTATGGAGCCATCTGACAATCAAACAGGATATGGTTTATCTGACGCTACTAGTCTCAAGTGGCCCGCACTATTTATAGAGCGGGTATAGCTGGAAACTTTAAGTCGGGAAAATCAACTTAAGGTGCCAAAAGCACGTTCTGTTGAGATCCAAAAGAAAGATCCTAATAATGTTGATCGACTATGTGAAAGAAGGATGTCTGCAATATGCAGCTATACATAGTTAAGAAGGATGCCCAGAATAACAAAACAGAACCAAATGTTGCGGCTATCAAGGGTATCATGGAGGATCCTGAACTTGTCTCTGACGCTGAGCTTTCGGATTATTCAGGCTCTGAGCCACCTGCCGATTTAAGCGCGAATTAGGTGTTAATGTCTACACTTCGGCAATATTAGGTCATGTATTAATATGTAATGTCTGTGTTAGACTAAGTTTAACTGTTATGTTATGTTTATGTTTATGTATTGTGTCTGTCAAATGTTGCGGCTATTAATATGCAATATTAGGTCATGAATTAGGTGTTTGTCTGTCTAACTGTCATGTTTATGTATTGTGTATTCAGTTTAGGGTGCCCGGGACGTATGTAATATGTGTTCAGTTCATTGTGTCCAGAATGTATTTTTGTGGGAGACTTATGTCTGTACTACTTATGTAACTGAAAACTATTACATTTGCAATTTCAGTTATGTTGTTTTCATACATGTATGAGTATTTAGTAAATTGGTGACTTCATATATTATGTATTAAGTTTTATTACAAAAATGTTGACAAAATTTATTTTAGGAGCTCTCGCGGTGGCCTTCGTCTTCTTGGCCTACTCCGTGGTGCTCTTCGCGTCTCACCCTTCGTCGTTGCTCGTCGAACTGCACAGTGTGTGGGTGTACTTCGGACTGTAGAGCATGCAAAACGGTTTTACTAAACTGGTTTTCTGAATTACATTCTCACCTTGTAATCCAAAACAAAGACAAAAGAATAAATATATATATATTTAAATGAAAACGGCTTTAGTAAAGCCAAAATAATTTTCTAAATAATACCTTCTAACCCAAAACAAAGACAAAAGAAAAAAAAAATTATATGAAAACGGTTTTAGTAAAGCAAAAAAAAAAATTATTAATTACATTATCACCTTCTAACCCAAAACAAACACAAAATAATAAACAAAAAAAATTTACATGAAAACGGCTTTAGTAAAGACCAAAAAAATTTCTGAATTACACTTTCTAAACCAAAACAAAGACAAAAGAAAAAAAAATATTTTAACATGAGAACGGCTTCAGTAAAACCAAAAAAAATTTATGAATTACATTATCACCAAAACAATGACAACAGAAAAAAAAATAAATATAATTTAAATGAACAGTGAAAGCGTGGTTTCAATCCATGCTTACTGTAATGAACAGTGAAAGCATGAATTTTGTAAATGAACATGATTGGCTTAATAATATCTAAATGAATATGATTTTAAAATTATATATATGAAAATATTATGTAAAATTAATATATGAAAATAGGCTTTTCCCATAAAAATTTAAATGATATATAAATTGGCCTAATTCCCAAATGTTTGGTAATTAGTTAAAAATATTATGTAAAATTAATATATAAAGAAGAGGCTTTTCTCATATGATGTAACACAAATTAATATATAAAAAGAAGAGGTTTTTTCCATATTATGTAAAATTTCTGAATTACACCTTCTAAACCAAAACAAAGACAAAAGAAAAAAAAAAATCAACATAACAATGGCTTTAGTAAAGTCAAATTTTTTTTTATGAATTATATTATCACCAAAACAATGAGAACAAGAAAAAAAATAAAATATTAAAAAATAATAATAAATAAATAAATGAACAGTGAAAGCGTGATTTTAAATAGTATTTTCTTAGGAAAAAAAATTATATGTGAAAGCGCGATTTTAAATAGCATTTTTTTCAGAAAACAAATACAGAATGAAAGCGCGATTTCAAATAACGTTTTCTTTAAAAAAAAAATTTATATTAAAAGTGTAATTTACAACCACCATTTCTTAATTAAAAATATGATTTACAATAGCGCTTTTATTATTCATCACTTCAGAATAATACTTTAGCATAGTTTGAGAATTTCGTCTCAACTAGTTTGAGAATTAAGATACAAAATAGGCTGGGAAAAGGCCCCTCGGGTGTTGCCTGTCTCAATATTTTACGAAGGCAAAGTTGCGTAGTAGTAATTTATCTCTCTGTCTTCGCAGATCCAAATCTATCTGCAATTCCCAATCGAATTCTTCAATTCAATACTTCAGTTCTTTATTATATACATAGACATTGTATATCACCTGTGATTGATTGAATTTTTTTGATTGTTCGTCTTCACAATTGGATCTGATTGAGGTAACACGAACCTTCAAAACAGACCCAATCATGAATCCCTTCTCGTCCGTTTCGCGACTAAGGTTAGCACAAATCTTGCTCCACATTGTTGTTTATACATACATGCGTGAGAACAAGTACGAAAATTTTGATTTATGGTGTCATTTCGTGATCGAAGTAGGTGAAATTTCAAATGGAGGTGGAAAACTAATGAAATTGATGGGATTTGATATTAGAATTGTTGAAATTGAAGACATTATGTCCAAAAATAGATTTAAACGTGTGCGCGTTTGTGTAATTGTATGGGGAGGAAACTTGGAATGCATTTGTTGTAAGGAATTAGCATAACGTGTGAGATTATAGTGTATCATTGCAAAAATATGAATTTGAATTTTTTTTTTTTTATCTCAATCTTTTGGGGGGTTTGTGCATTCAATTGGTTATATTTGTGTATATATATATATATATGGGAAATGCTACAATGTGCACTTGAACATTTTAAGAAAAGTTACGATTTTTGTGATAAAAGTTATGAATTTTTTTATGATGAAAGTTCCAATTTTTGTGATGAAAGCTATGAATGATGAAGTTATGATGTCCAGCTAAAAAGTTATGTTAACTAAAGTTATACTTTTTGTGATAAAAGTTTTATATTTTGTGAGAAGCAAAAAGTTGTATTTTTGTGATAAAACTTATGCTTTTTGCATAAGGTGCACACACATACACCCAAAAAGGGGTGCCCATGTAGCCTTTCCCTATATATATATATATATTTTGTGTTTTAAAGTTTGGGTTGCAAATTGCAATTTCATTTTGTAGTGGAAATGTGTTTTTATTCTTCTTGCTATGCTCATAAGAAATATACAACTTTTGAAATAAAATTACCAAAACAAGGAAACAACAAAAACAAAGTTACTGACAATGGCAACAACTAAACATTATGGTACGTACGCATAACATTAACAACACAAGTAAGAATATTTAGTATCAACTAGTGTATCTGCTATATGTAGTCCTTAATTGGGTAGCATCAGATCTAGTACTGATGCGGACAGAAAAGGTGTTGGGTTTTTCTACTTGATATCCCTAATTTTGTGTATATTCTTTTTTTTTTCTTCTTCTTGTTTCATTTCATTTGATATTACAAACTTTAGCTAGTTGCCTTAGAGACTGAACGACCTGATTTGATTATTTTATAGATGAGGAAAAGTTCTGAATCTCCCCGTTGTCATTTCTTTCAATGTACTAACTTAACATTGTCTCTTGTTCTTTAGCTATTTAGTATGTAACTTAGCCCATGTTTGGCATTTGTTGTGGGGAATAATCACATATGGACAAAAAAAAGCTACAAAATCATAAAATGCCAAAACACTTGAGTTGGGATGCAAAATTATCAAATTGTCCCATATACAAACAAAAAGTCAAAAAAACATCATTTCCAAGTGGAGGGCAATTTTATCATTTCACTTTGGGAATATCATTTCCAATGCAAAAAAGCCAAACAAGAAAACCAAACAAACAAAAAAAGTCTCAGGCTAAAAAAGTCAAAAAAGTCAAAAAGCCAACTAAAAAAGTTCTTGCCAAACGAACCCATGTACATGTTAAGACAAAGGTCATATTTAGCTAATATTGGCATGTGTTTTGTATGCCTTGGAGGTTGGCATGCATATAAAAATTGTTTTGATTTTTCATAGGCCTCCTAGCAAACATGAAATGAATGAGGGAGAGAATTGAAGAAACTAGATGAAGCATGCCAACTTAAGTTTAGAATCCCTGCCTGTAACAAGTTGCAAAAATTATTTTTCAAGCCCCCTCGGGTGTTGCCTGTCTCAATATTTTACGAAGGCAAAGTTGCGTAGTGGTAATTTATCTCTCTGTCTTCGCAGATCCAAATCTATCTGCAATTCCCAATCGAATTCTTCAATTCAATACTTCAGAT